CTTTCCTTTTGGGGAGTGCCATGTGTTTACACAGTCTGGGAGCTGCTGAGCTGTTTTCCTGACTCACATGGCTGCCGCTGTTGCATTCCTCAAGCGTGTTGGCTTGGCGGTCTAAGCGTGTTTGTCCTGCATTGCCTTCTCATTTAAATGGACGCACATGACTCCGAGCTTTACTGCCAAGTAGATCTCTTCACGCCGGCCGGGAGCCACCGGAGCTTTGCTTTTCATTGGCTTCTCTGCAGGGTCCTGCATTCTTCTTTGCCATCCACCCGTCACAACCACAAGGGTGTGCAATGAATCTCATCCCAGATGTTATATTTGGTGTCTTTCAACTTCTCCAAGGATGCACATTAACTTCAAAACAAATTGCATGTTTGTTAGTTGTTACTGGATGACAGAGGCAGCTCGCTCTCAGCTGCCCACTGCCTGGCTTGCGCAACCGCGGCGAACAAACGGTCCACTTGAGCCCATCTTTGGCACATTCCACTCAATCATCGACACAGTCACTGTGACCGTGATTCCATTCTCTTGTTGCATTCTTGCCCCCGAAGCTCACTGCATTGTGACAATATTAAGTCAGTGAAGGACACTGGGAAAGATACAATATGAGACTTAGTGGCAGTCAAAAGGTCATCTTTGCAACAACAACAAAAATATGCTCTGTGTCTGAGCTTAGCCGGTGCAAGCGCGCAGTCATGAGCTACGGTCGGCATTCAATTCCAACGAAATGTCATCAGCTAATCGCATAATAAAGGTTGTATGACATTGACTGGAATGTAGTTTAATACTGTGGGAGACCAACAACAATACTGACCGTGGTGTTTCCACTTTGGATTTTCTTCTAACTTGTTCTTTTTCATAACAAGCTTTTCTTATGTGGTTTCCAACATTTTTTTTTTTACATAACTACATTGCCGACAGAAAGCAGAAACATTCAATTTGTGCCGTAAATAATGGGACAATGTTTTAGCTGTCTTCCAGATCAGGTCTGCTTGCTCTAAACGCACGCACGGGTTCATCTGGTCAAGAAACACAAATCCTCCCTCCAGCAAAATCAGAAGCTGCCCTCTGCATTTGTCCCCTCTCACACTTGCGACCTGATGTTAGAATGAGAAACAACTCATCACTTTGGCTTCGGGGAACTTCTCTTTGAAACCAATTGGGTCAGTTTTGATGGTTGCTGTTCAATCGCCAAAAGCATTTGAAAGTGCAAAGTGATCCATGGCACATATAGCGAAATGAAACAATGCAATACAGTTTGGAGTGGTTTCCTTATTGGAATCATACCCACACATGTAAGAAGCACAATGATCCCCCTTGCCCCCCAAAAAAAGGATGACAAGCATGCTTTTTTTTTTCTTGTCTCGATTTTTGCTCTTGCAAACCTGAATGATAAGTTTGCTTTTTTTGGGGGTTTTTTTTGGTGACGCGCATGACAATAGGTGTGCAAGGAGGGGCCCATTTTGGAGAGTCCCGAATCCCAACGTGTTATTGCGGTGTCTGCTGGGGGTTTCCGGTTGTGTTGTTGATATGGACCAATATCATCCATCACTCAGCGTCCCCTCCCGACTATCCAGCATCAGCTAGTAAGGGGTCCTACGTGGGGGATTCCCAAAACATTGTGGTGCCATCATGCCATCATGTACAAAGTAGAGCCATTGTTGTTTTCATCGATTGAGGCCAAAGTCTGCCATCTTCCAAGATGAGCTTCAGCTCGAGGAACTATCATAGCCTCTTTTTTTGACTAACATCGACAAATGCGATTCACGAATGGCATAGTGGTTCATCCGCCTGACTTCGGTGCAGGCACCTTGGGTTTAGTCTCCACTCAGTGACGATGTGAAAGGAAGAATTAATGGTTGTCTTTCTCCATGTGCCCTGTGACTGGTTGGTGACCAGTTCAGGGTGTAATTTGCATTTTTCCCAACTGAACATGCTAAGTATAGAAATGGATGGACGGTTGGATTCATGGATCTACACATGGCCATTATATTGATTTTTTTTTTTCATCCCGTGTTCTGGCTTAAAGGCAACAGCAATGTGCCTTCTGAGGGAAAGGATTTTGTGCTGATGTCAGCCGCTTTCAAAGAAAAAGATTAAGATGGGAAGATTTACTTTACTGGAGATGCAGCACGGCAATAAATCAAGGATGCCGTTTCGGTGCTTCATCTGCATGGAAGGGTTTTTTTTTTTGTTTTTTTTTTGTTTTTTTAACGAAGGCTTTTTAAGCATTGAATGAGACTGGGCATCCTGCCAAATCTTTACCACATGCCACCTTATTTCAATTGAGTTATGGTCAATGATTTCCTGTCATGGACCTATTTGTGTGTTTTTTCTTCATTTCATATTGTTCCTTTTTATTTTGGGGGTTTATGCCACCACAGCACAATACCAGTGAAGGCAAAGAGCAAAAAAGTAGTTAGTTTCTGTGGTGACGCGGAGTAGCAATGCAAGAAGGGGGAAGTTTCCCCAGCGAAATGTTTAAAGGTAGCCAATTGGAGACAATGTTGTGATGGAAAAGTAGGTGAAATATATCAGATAAATCGGAAAAGAGCATTTCTTGGATTACTTTTTTACATTTCAATTCACAACATAAGACATATTGGAATCAAAGTACACATTTTTTGCAAACTCTAGGTAACAGTATACATCTACACAATGTGAGGCATTGTTTTTTGCGTTTTCCTTGTACGTATAGTACGCACCATCAATTGTAAATGTAATGTTCAGGGGGAAAGAAAAAAAAAAAAAAAAACAAATATTGTACTTGAGAAATTCCGGTAAATAGACTTGATCATAGCAGCTGCTATTCTTCTTGGAAAGCATTCTGCAACAGTTTGAAAGGATATCCTTGTACATGTTTGCATTATATCCACAGTAGAAGCTTCTATTTGTCCAAAATGTCTTAATGATGGTTTCACTGATTACATGGGGGTTTTTTATGTTCATATAGTGGATCTTCTATCTCAGGGGTCCCCAACCGCCGGTCCGCGGACCGGTACCGGTCCGCCGGGCATTTGGTACCGGGCCGCACAGAAAGAACTTGCCTTAATTCCGTTTTATTTATTTCGGAATACGAAAGATGTTTTATTTTGAAAACTTACCGGATTCTCCGTTACATCCGTCTGTGTCCAGCTTGACACACGTCAAGCCACGCTTCTCCGTAACGCGACCAATTAGGCTAAAAACAAACACCGGAGCTCGCAAAATGAGTAAAAAAACTGCTGGAGATCGCAAATGACGGCGGCCTTAAAAGTACGTTCGAGACAACTGGATTAAAGTTATGTCTGAATACTCTGAGATCGCCACAATAGCACTTTTGCTATTTCCGACATCCTACCTGTGTGAGGCGGGGGGGATTATGCAGCAACGGCGACGAAAACAAAATTACGAAGTAGACTGGACATAAACCACACACTTGCGGTGTCATTGTCTCTCCTATTACCCCGAGATGGGACCGTCTGGTTGCAGAAAATCAAGCTCGGTGCTGTGGTGAGTGGTCATTTTCATGCACTTTGAATTTGCGTTGTATCGTATTTTGAAGGCATTAAACATTGCCATAGCGATTGGAGTGTTGCGGCCAGATTAGACGCTCCTTGTGTTTATTATTATATTTCGAAAACACCACAGTTTTCATGCAGCTCATACCATATTATTTTGTTGTATTATTTCCGCCACACCTTAAATGCCGGTCCCTGAAAATATTGTCTGACATAAACCGGTCCGTGGGGCAAAAAAGGTTGGGGACCCCTGTTCTATCTGACCAAAACAGTTTAAGGGTTCAAAAGTGGTTGCCCGCAGGAACTGTGACGACTTATCTACAATGCGTCGTGTGAGGTTTCACACTCCTTCACAGGGCGCTGTAAATCTAAAGACGTAAGCCATGCGGTCTGGCTTGGGGGCGGCCCACGTGTGACGAAAAGAAAACAACTTTGGAGGGCTGAGGGAAGAGCTTTGGATGTAGCACTCATACATAAATGGAGACACAGATGTGATAAGCCACTGTGAATTCTAATCAGATATATAGTTAATAAAGCAACTAAATATGAAATGTACTAAAGAAAGTACAGTTTGGACAACTCAATACAGGTATATTATTTTGCATTGCAAAGAAGATGTGAACGTTCAGACGTTGACGCATGTTTCTCTGCCTCCACTACTGGAGACGCTCCTGCTTCCAGAGCTGCAGCTAATTACAGTTGAGGCATGAAAATATATTATTTAGAGTAGTAGTAATACTAATTAGTTACAAAATATTGCATAGCACTGAATTGGTGCTTTTTAAAAATAAAATTCATCTAAATAGTTGTATGCACCAACAGACGGATTATCTCAGTGGCGACTTTGAAAATTAGAATTCATCCAATATAAATTATTCCAAGACATGAATTATATCATTATTGTCAGACAGGATGTTAAATATTCTGAATAGCACTGGTGTCCATAATTTAACAGGTAAAATCATGAGGACATTCTCGGCTGGGGTCAAAATTGACCAAGAACAAATGGGAAACAAATGAAAAGTATTCATAATATTCACCTTGAACATAAAGTAAATAATTGAGCGAATGGTGGTTAACTTTATGCATATACAGACACTCTGCCTTTCTTTATCTGAAACTTGCACTGCTATTGGCTTGTTTGGTGTTGAAACCGACCACGTAAATGCTCTTTCCTCAAACCGGTGGAGCACTAAATGTGAAGACAGCGTCCCCTTGTGGAAAAAAAAAAGAACACATTTTTAGGCTCGAGAGTCCGCCACACTACTAAATAGCTTACATTTCAGGTATTTAAAAATATGCATAACATTTTTAAAAAACACATCAGGGACAACCATATTAATTTTAAAATGTCAAAATTGTTGAGCTATCCGTGTGCGTGTGTGTGTATGCACACACACGCACACGCTTGACCATTATAAACATGCATTTAGTGTCTTTGTTCGCATAAGGCTAAGTGTGTCCCGGCCGACTGTATTTTGCAATAAGTGCGAGAGTGCGTTTCAAGAAAATTGTATTTATTCCTTTACAAAACAAGAACAATTGGTTAAAAACCTTTATGTTGTATAAAGTCTGTAATGCAGATGCAAGAGTCGCAGCATGCATTTACATCAAGTTCTTTCATCCACTGCAACACAACAAATGAAATAAAATAATGGGGGTGGGCATTCCATCAGAATCAATGCATACTCTTAATCCATCATAATCTGGCTACAGTGTCACTCCTCATCCATGTGATTATTTAAGGCTATAGAATAACTGTACAATGTTTTATTGACAGATTACAGTATATACACTGAAAGAATATAATTATATCCAATACAAGAGCTCCACCCTCTCGTGTAATTACTTGAACTAAAATATTAGCCACAGTTCTTACGATGAAGCAGTACCGTTCTCATCACAATAATGAAAATATTGTTAAATCAACACTTATCTGAACTTAACTGAGCATCACTGTCATTGTAAAGACATTGGATAGCATTATCGTGCGCAAGTGGTCATACAGAATGTCCTGGTTGGTTGGTGTATACTGTGGATATATGATCAGAACAAAAGCTTGGAGGCTTTGTGAATATTATCTGCCCATCTGTTTGTGAGTGCAGGTAATCTTGCCCTCATTGCACAGGCAAATCGACAACAGCAGAGATGAAACTAGGATTTGACAGCAGAGCTTTTGGAGAGTAACTTGTGATAAATCCATCCATCACCCTGGTGGAAAGAAATCTAGCTTGAACACACGATCCTCTGTTTGCAAGAGAGGTAGTAAAAGGTTCCACGTTGAGTTTTGGTGCCTTACCTCCCTGTCAAAGTATCGGGTCCTCCAAGAAGTTTCTGTCTCAGCCCGGTGCCTCTCCTCTGAGCGCTGTCTCTCCTCCAGAATCCTCTTGTGCTCGGTGGCTTTGTCGATGTCTTTCTGTCGTAAGGCCTCCGTGACATGCTGCCACAAACGTCTAAAACGCATGCAAATATATTCAACGTACAGTAAGTACATTTCCCAATTTCTACATAGCTTGATAAAGTGTCATAAACATATACCTTGTAAAGAAACATTTTACATATTTGGGGGATGAGTGAATAATTACATAAAAACATTGGGATTTTTTTTTTTCTGACGCATGACCAAGTCTCTGTGTACTGACCTGGATTCAGTTGGTCCTTGCTTCTCGATCGGCCGGACCCACTTTCTTGTTACAGGCAGTTTGGTGATGTCGACCACCCTGGTCTCGCCACTGGTATAAGCAAATTCCAAAGTGCCATTCCACTCACCCTGAATGCGGCACACGACCACATTGGTTGCATTGTGTTTCACCTCTGCTGTTACTCTACATTTGGGAAAACAATGTCATTTAGTGTCATGCTCTTGTCCTGCACTTCAAAGTGAAACAAAGTCCTTACTTGTGCAATTTGCCGCCATAAAACGGTTTTGTCTGGAACGTAATGACTGCAGCGTAGCCTGTCTTGGTGCAAGTTATGTTAACTTTGCCCCCCAGTTCCACCCAGGGGACAGTGAGAATGGAGCGTGCGTAGGCGCATGGCAACGTGAAGGTGTATTCTTCATCATGTTCCAGCAAAGTCAGGCATCCTGACAAAAATCATCAAGTTATCAAAATTGAACATTTCCAGACAACCTTTCTTAATGTGAGACAAAAAAAAAAAAAAAAAAAAAAAAACCCACTTTCTTGTTACAGGCAGTTTGGTGATGTCGACCACCCTGGTCTCGCCACTGGTATAAGCAAATTCCAAAGTGCCATTCCACTCACCCTGAATGCGGCACACGACCACATTGGTTGCATTGTGTTTCACCTCTGCTGTTACTCTACATTTGGGAAAACAATGTCATTTAGTGTCATGCTCTTGTCCTGCACTTCAAAGTGAAACAAAGTCCTTACTTGTGCAATTTGCCGCCATAAAACGGTTTTGTCTGGAACGTAATGACTGCAGCGTAGCCTGTCTTGGTGCAAGTTATGTTAACTTTGCCCCCCAGTTCCACCCAGGGGACAGTGAGAATGGAGCGTGCGTAGGCGCATGGCAACGTGAAGGTGTATTCTTCATCATGTTCCAGCAAAGTCAGGCATCCTGACAAAAATCATCAAGTTATCAAAATTGAACATTTCCAGACAACCTTTCTTAATGTGAAAAAAAAAAAAAAAAAAAAAAAGGAGCTGCTAACCTTCCCCAATCATGGAGACTCCAATGGACATGCCCATGAATTTACTCTTAGTCCAGACATGGGTATTTACACACATGCGCCTCTCCTGGCATTCTGCATAGAACCCAGACACAGGAGGGTGATGGGATACTTGCTCCGCCACAAAGCGCACTTGGTAGGAATCTTGAGAGGCAGCTGGGTCAGGGCTTTCTTGTGGGGGCTCAGCAGAGGAGGACTGTGGTGTCTTGGGGACTTTCCAGGAGCAGTGGAAGGTCTCGCCAATGATGGGATTGTAGGGTTTCTTGGCAATGGCACCCTTGCGGCCCTCGTGGAAAGAGGTGAGGTAGTACTCCACAAATCGAACCATGCGCTCCTCCGGGGTGCTGCCGTCTGTGATAGCCACGAAGAGTTCTGGGTGCGACATGAAGTCTGCATACATCTCCAATAAAGAACGCTTCTCCAGGATAAAGGTGGGCAGAACAACCTGCAGGACAGTCGGCATGATTCATTCATTTATATGTGTTGCACAACGCAACTTGTGAGCTCTTGGCCCAAGTGCAGGAGCTGAAGTATCTTGCGGATCGGTGCACCGTCTGCTGTGATGTGGATTTTGTATCGGTCTGTTGTGGTGAAGAAGCTGAGCTAAAAGGCGAAGTGCTCAATTTACCGGTCAAACAACGGTGCAACCCTCAACTATGGTCACGAGCTATGGGTTGTGACTGAAAAAACGAGATCCCGGATACAAGCGGCCGAAATTAGTTTTTTCTCCGCAGCGTGTCTCTTCCTTCCTTGGGAGAAAAGGTGAGAAGCCCGGTCACCCGGGAGGGGCTCAGAGTCAAGCCGCTTTTCCTACAAGTCGAGAGGAGTCAGATGAGGTGGCTTGGGCATCTGATTAGGATGCCTCCTGGACACCTCCCTGGTGAGGTGTTTCGGGCATGTCCCACCGGCAGGAGGCACCGGGGATCGCCCAGGCCATGTCTCCCAGCAGGCCTGGGAATGCCTCAGGATGCCCGGAGAAGAGCGGGAACAAGTACCAGGGGAGTGGGAAGTCGGTGCTTCCCTGCTAAATCTGTTGCCCCTGCGACTCAACCCCAGATCAGGGGTAGAAAATAGATGGATAAATGGATGAAATACCTTGGAACTTGTAAGCCGCCCATGCCTACTTCTGACGCTGCATAAACATATTTCTTTCTGCAAATCTGATTTAGAGAGGTATTTTTTGTTCCATTTTGTTTTTTTTGTTTTTTTTCTTTTAACCAACTATCTGTGATCCAACCTAATCTTGAATCAGAAAACCCTTGAGGAAAAAAAACTGATCCTGGTGGCTCAAAACTTGCAAACAGGAAGATGTACAGTTTACACATAGCCTGTTAGCAGTGAAAATAATCAGGTGAACTCCACAGCACACAGCAGGCAAGACATGCTGCTGAGCTTAAGTCAGCATGTCACAATTTGTTTATTGTCATATGTTAGCACATGGAACTCAACCTACCCGCGTGAGGTCCATGCCTAGCTTCAGCTGCGAGAGCAGGTGTAGGATGACGCTGCGCTCCTCCTCCACCGCACACAGGTCCTCTTCTTTGTCTGTGAAAGAGTCCACTATCTCATCCTCAGCAGCAATGTCTTCTTGCTCCTGAAATACCAAGACAATAATGAATTAACATGTGGGTACAACCCTAGCCCACTTTTGGAAGGACTGCGTGGCTCCTGTTGTCTTACCCCAGAGAAGCTGCAGGACTCCGGGCTGCTGAGCTCCAGACATCCCTCCTCTAGGAGGCCCTCTCCTGTTGTGAAGCTACCCAAGGAACTGCTGCCATTCTTCAGGATGTCAGGCTTGGGCTCCAGCCACTCAATGGTGGATCCTACCATGCGCGGGGAGTGCAGAGCAGCAGGTTCAGAGGTACTCATTATATTAATGCCCCCCAGGCTCCCTCCCAAGGCCCCCTGACACTCACAGCTGCGTGCACAAACACACGTACCCCTACAGGTAGCCTGCAACTTGTGGCACAAGTGTAACTTGTGCTGGGCAAACGGTTTAGTTCAAGCTCAGCAGAGTGCAACTAGAGCCTTCAGTCAGACACTGCTTGCCGCACCAACAGGAAACATCGTCATCCTCTGATTGGCTCAGGACTGTCGGCGTGGTATCTTTTTATGCAAGTTTCGGGGCGGGCCGATTCCATTCAAATTCACCTTGTGTGTTGCTGGGCAACTTATTCTGATTGGCTGTTGCGATTGGGGCTGCCTGATGAAATATGCATCAAGTAATAAGATCTGCTTCAGAAAAGTGGGACGTTAGCTGTCTGTTTTCGTGTTTCAAATTATTTTGAAAACATGTGAATGTTGAAGTTGAACATGATTCTATAAACTGCACATGTGCTACAAACACTACTTTGAAATGCTTACTAAAACTGCTAGGTGTCACAACAGCATTGCATGTATATTGTAGCTACCTAAGGTCATATTACTGTTGACACAGGTGGCAATAATAGGTACTCTCCCTATAAATAATGCAAAATTATTCCACTGTTTGTCTGGATTGGATAGAGACGTGTTGTTCTGTATAAGCACATCTATGATTTGACATGTAGAACTACTCATTAGCACAAATTTTGTTTCCCCTTCATCACCATTTTAGTATAGGGAAAGGAAACAAGCCGCACACCTCCCATCAAACCTGTCTGTCTGGCCACCTGCTGCAGGTTCAGGATATGTAAGCACTCATTGAGGCAGGTCATGGTAGCCATGGAGGTAGCCTTGAGCATGAGCAGGTCCTGGTCTAAAGCGGAAAGTCCAGGAGCTGCTGGTAGACCCTCTATGCCCTGGATTAGGTCTCTGTGTTGGCCTTGAGCCTGGCTCATCATCTAGAGGAGGGAGGGTCTGGTTATTGGGGACAAAAATTTCAATAAAGTACAGCAAAATATTTTTGACATCTTATTCCATTGCCTTCGTTTGTAAAATTACTTAATGCTGGAAATAGATGGGCATTAATACAGATATAGGTCAATCAGTGTTGAGTGCTTAATTATTTACTTCTCTGGCTTCCATTAGATGATCTGGCAGTAGGGAACGCTTGCTGGAATACAGTGATGAGCCCTTGTGTATTTGCCAATTGAATAAGGAGGTGGGGTTTTGGCTCGGTCGGCGCAAAGACATGGGTGAGCTGCTGCTGCCTTGAGACACCATGGAGTAGCTGCGTGACTTGGGTGGAGGATTACTCTAAGCAAAGTGACACAAAGTTTAATTGAAGAAAGTTAAATTATATGTCCCACTTGTTTCAAAGTGAGTTTTACCTTCCCCATGGCCTCAGTGTGATGCTGTGTGCAGATTTGCAGTCTGCTCACCCAGTGTTGCCTCTCTTTGGCATCGGTGGCTGAGAATGACACATGCATAAAAATAAATAATAAAACATGGTCAGGGTCACTATAACACTGTCCTAATCAACATTGATCCCTGCTCCAACGGCATGCATCAGTAAACAATGTCAAAATTTTATGAATATAATGGACGGGGACAAGAAAATTAAGGCCTGTGAGTACCAGGCGCAAGAAAACAAAATTGAATGAGAGCAAAGAATCAGGAAACAATGTGTTCAAACAAACCCCTGAGCTTGTACTGCTCTCCACTGATGGCATTAACAGTGAATGTATGTGAGTCCTCATCACTTGGGGAGATGACCGCACCAGCCAGGGGGAGCATGCCACGGGGCTTCTGAGGCCGGGACTGCTCATTAACAAAGTACTCCAACAAACCCGCTTCATTGTTTAGGACAAAGAACCTGGAAACAACAGGATAAGGTATCCAACTCCATAAACAGCAGTGAAAAGGCATCACGTTTGAATGGTTCTGCATTTAAATATAGCACCTCACCTGTACTGCCAACCTGTCACCAAGTTGGTGTACTTCATCAAGTAGCCATCGATATTTTCCATGTGGTCACTGGCATCCAATGTTAGCATGCAAAGGGGAGACAAGCATAAATAACAATCAATGGGAGGGAGCGCACAGCCTTAAACACACAAAAGTGATGCATAAACTGTCTCGTGGATGTGTCTTGCCAAAAGTCGAGTAACTGAGAACAAATGCAACGACCGAAACAACTCTGAAATCGAATGGCGTTCTTTCCATCACACCTGTATGTCCTCTCTAATAAACACATAACACGATTGGATTCAGTAACTAGCTTTATAGCGTCATCGTGTTAAAAAAACCCTCACCTATACTGCCAGCTCTTGGCACTCGCTCTACCCGAGCTTGGAGTCCTGTTCTGGGGGAATACATCCAATTTTCCGTCGTTTTCCGTAATTCGTATTGCCGAGGTTTCCCCTTGCATAGTCACTGACAACACCACCGCCTTTAGCTTAGCCTAGCCGCAGTCTGCTGGCCTTAAACTAACTCGTCAAAACAAGACAACGTAAAAAAAGAAACGAGGTTTCTTTAAAATGAAGAACGGCGTTCAAGATCCATGTCGTGTTGACCACACAACCTCCATAAAGCCATTTCCCTATTCACTATACAGTAGTGCATAAAATCTGATGAAACATATCCAGCTAAAGTAGCTGGACAGCCTTCCTGGTAGCTCCACCGGAAACACATCACGTGCTCGTCATTGTGGGATTCGCAACATACATTTTTTTGTATCAAATGCATTTTTTTAAATATATATTTATGAAAACGTGACTTTTCAAATAGTATTTGCAAATAGAATTCCAATCCACACCTAAAAGACGTTGGGAAGGAAATTATTTGATGTTTCCTCTTTAACTAGTACGGTACAGTAGTAACACTGCAACTGTGACGTGACGCCAGTAAAACCATTCCAGTGTCTATTAATAACAAAATTACCTAATACTCATGTTTGTCAGTTAAAGGATGAACCTTGGCTCGTAAATGTAAATAAACAAACAAACAAATAAATAAATAAATAAATATATCGCTATACCTCTACTATACAGTACAGTATCAGGAAATTTCCACAAGCAACATTTTCGTTATGACGTCAGAAGAAAATAATACACTGTATATTATACTTTTCTATAAGCAATTATATTATTCAGCAGAATATAATTAAATGTGTACAATATTATTCAATATCATGTATGTATGTATGTAAATAAAACTAATCATTTCTTGAACTGCATTGCTATTACCTGTATACGCGACCGTGAAGAAAAAGTATACAGTACAGGTAATGAGTTGCTATCGTAAGATAACATCTGTAATTACAGAAACGGATTAAACACTCTTAAAATGTGTTCTTTCTGGGGAAAAAAAAGTGTGTTCAGGATACCTGATATCGAGTGCAATCATGGGGCGTATGAGGAAGTCAATAAACGCGGAAGATCAAGCACGGCGCAGAGTTCAGAGAAAAGGGCGACCAGTATCGAAATGCCCGGGACAAAAGTCTGCATCTTGGGATCGGGAAACTGGTACAAATTGATTCCGTTTTTAAGATGTGTCTCTCACAACGGTGTTTCATGACTGTTTCGCGCAATCTGTGCGTGAATTGACATACTGGTCTTCCGATTTTTTCCCTTCTTTCTTGGAAACTTTGTTTTGTATGATCTATCACATTAGAGAAGAACAACGCAAAACGATTAGAATACACTTATAGTCCGTTTATAGCTTTTCAGGAACAGTGGTCAAATTTTTAAAATCATGTCTACCCCTTGATCCCTTTTCCAATTCCGTATCGCCATTATTGATCGACCAACATTAAAATACTCACAGACAAGGCTGAAATTGTATCCCCAAAGATGTATTTAATATTATTGTAATCCACTGTAGTTTCAGCACCGTTTGAATATTACTGTTTAAACACAGTTTTAGGGAAATCAAAACCTGGACTCACGATTCACTTAAGGTGTATTGTATGTTAAGGTTCAATTAAAAATGAACCTTAATTAATTTTTCAAATTAAACACTCAAAAAAATATATACTGTACTATGGTACTTTGACTACGTTTACTAGTTAAAATCATTGAACTGAATGTAACAAATATATTGTATTGCATTAAAAAAGAAAGAAAACAAGAAGACACAAGAAGGCTCCACCCCTTGCCTCCTATTGTCCCCCGTCGTCCTCCGCATAGGTACCACAAGAGGGAGCACGCGTACCACACTTTGAGAATATTGGCGTCCGAAAACTACTGTATTGATGGTGTTTTAAGACTGACAACAACGCTCATGTCTTAAGTTTAACATATTTGGTAACATTAAAAGGCTGTATTTGTTCATACATTCAGGTTAAGGCTCATTGTCCTTTAGGCTTTGTTTTGGGGCGTTTTGATTTTGTATAGAAAGTCAGTTGTGTATGTAATGCCTGATTGCCTGCATTGTTTTAACATCTTACTGTTGATCCACACCCGTATGAATTTTTACTCTCTTTGTTTAATGCCTCACATGAATTCACTTTTTGTTGTTGATGTTGTTGTTTTGTTTTAAAGGGGCTCTTCGATTGCTAAAATCGTTGGGGTCAATGTCAGATCGTCAAACCGGTTCGACCCAGTGGTGAACATGTGGGTTTATGAAGAAGTGATCGATGGGAAGAAGCTGACCGAGATTATTAACACGGAGCATGAAAATGTCAAATATTTGCCTGGCCACAAGCTGCCAAAGAACGTGGTAATTGTCTATTTGGATTAATTGATTAATTAGAAAATGATGTTGCAAAATGTCCTTCTTTATATTCAGCTTTAGTTCTATTGAATATTTCTTTGGCATAAATGTCATGTTGACATAATTAAAAGCGGTGTTAGAACATTATTTAGTTTTGTTGTCTTCTGTACTGCAAGCAAGTCTAATTTTTTTTAGCTATTGGTTCATCTGAAAATACTTTCTCGTTATCTGAAGATCTTTTTAACACTGTAAAAGATCATATCAGTATAGTATGATCTCAGTTTGTCACAATCATTTTGTACAGGTGGCTATTCCAGATGTCGCGGAGGCTGTGAAAAGAGCAAAGTTGCTCATTTTCGTCACCCCGCACCAATTCATCCGCTCACTTTGTGACAAAATAAAGTCTCACGTTGAAGACGGGGCCATCGGCATTTCACTCATCAAAGTGAGATCCTCTTTTCATTTTCTGATAGCAAAATCAAATAAGAGTTGCTTGACTCTGGTATGTACTGTAACTGGCTTTAGGGCATCGACGAGGGTCCAGGCGGATTGCAGCTCATATCGGACATCATCAGAAAGGAACTGGAAATTGAGGTCAGCGTCCTGATGGGGGCCAACATTGCAAGAGAGGTGGCAGAAGAGAAGTTCTGTGAAACCACCATTGGTGTGACACTATTTTCAGTATTTTTAGTGGATCACTTCTTCCTGTCTCTTGCGTGTGACTGTTGTTACTTGAGTTACTGTTTTCTCTGCTGTTTTCAAATATATAGGTTCAACAAATGAGGCAAATGGACTTCTCTTCAAAGAGCTGCTTCAGACTCCCAACTTTCGCATCACTGTGGTGCAGGAGAGTGACACAGTGGAGCTGTGTGGAGCCCTGAAGGTAAATACGTGCTTATCGTGAAATCCATTCACAAGGCCACAAGAGGAGCAAATGATTTTGTGTCCACAGAATATAGTGGCAGTCGGGGCTGGATTTTGCGACGGCCTCGGATTCGGGGACAACACCAAGGCTGCGGTGATCAGGCTGGGTTTGATGGAGATGGTTGCCTTTGCCAAATTGTTCTGCAGGGGCCAAGTGAGTTCCGACACATTCTTGGAGAGCTGCGGCGTGGCTGACCTCATCACTACCTGCTATGGGGGACGAAACCGCAAAGTTGCAGAGGCTTTTGTCAAAACTTCCAAGGTGACTGTCCGCAACACCTCAACTCCAGCTTGCTGACGAATACACAAGAAACGCTACAAAAACTGTTGGAATATTGCTCATGCATGCCATTGTTTTATTTGAGTTGACAAGCTTACAATAAACACTGAATTTATGCAATCATTTACAAATTCACACTACATGAACATAAAAGCACTCCTAAAAATGTATGTTTAAAATGATATTGAAACAAAACACCACATAAAGAGACAAACCAATACAAGGAAGGAACATACAGCATTCATTACACATCGTATTAAAAACATTTCTTCTTCATTAGTCCATCGCAGAGCTGGAGGCTGAAATGCTCAATGGACAAAAACTGCAGGGTCCACAAACCTCAGCTGAGATATACAAAATCCTACAGAAGAAGGACATGGTCAACAAGTGAGTTCCCTGGCCTCCCTGGCAAATACTGAATAGTTCAAAAGTTGTTCATTTTAACGAATTATTCTCTTCCTGCTTTAGGTTTCCACTCTTTACATCCATATACGAGATCTGCTTTGAAGGCAAAGATGTGAAAAAGTTCATCGCCTGCCTTCAAAGCCATCCAGAACACATGTAGAGTGTCGACAGTACTGCACTGTGCCTTTTGTGGAAATTTGGAATGAGAAAGGGTCGACAAGATTCATGAGGTGGAAACACAAAGTACAGCCCAGCGAACCAGCACTTTTTAAAGCTAAATTATTATAATTCAAGAGTTATGTTTCTTCTTTGAATTATTATCCATCCTTTCCTCAATATTCTGTACCTGTTACCTCATGAGGGTAGCGGGGATGCTGAACCTATCCCAGCTGACTTTGGGCAAGACACTGGGTCCACCCTGGACTGGTTGCTAGCCAATTGCAACCATTCACACTTATACCTAAAGACACTTTCGAATCTGCAAGTAACTTAACATGCATGCAATGTGGGAGGTGGTGGTGCTAACTAGTCCACCCCTTTTCTTATTTGTTTTTCGGTAGTTGTTTTTATTCATGTGTTTAAATCTGATTTACCAGAATAAAATCCCTTTGAAAATCTCGATATGTGACTGTCATTATACAAACCCAATTCCAATGAAGTTAGACGTTGCAATGAACATACATAAAACAGAATACAATGATTTGCAAATCTTGTTAAACCTATGTATAGTTGAGCACACTACAAAGACAAGGTAGTTAATGTTCAACCGGATAAATCTTTTTGTTTTTAGTAAGTAATCATTAACTTGGAATGTTATGGCTGCAACAATTTACTACACTATCCTGGGATCCCTTCCAGAATGTTTCATGAAGATCTAATGGAGCATTTCAAGTTTAAAAAGTATTTATGGGATCATTACATTCATGACTGCTTCAATAAGGGTGTGAATATTTTTCCTGTTTGGTTTTTGCAATGCTCAGTCTTCAGCAAGACCACTTTTTAGCATCTGAACCAGATAGTCCACTTTGTTAGAGCTAGGATGGACAACAAAATCAACATCTACACACATGTTTATTTTACTAAACATTGCACAGATGGGGGCAGATGGTGGTCGACTGGTTAGCACGTCCGCCTCACAGTGCAGAGGTGCAGGGTTCGATTGCAGCTCCAGCCTTTGTGTGTGGAGTTTGCATGTTCTCCCTGTGCCTGTGTGGGTTTTCTCCGGGTACTCCAGTTTCCTCCCACATTCCAAAAACATGCATGGCAGGCTGAATGAACACTCTAAGTTGTCCTTAGGTGTGAGTGTGAGCACGGATGGTTGTTCGTCTCTGTGTGCCCTGCAAGTGACTGGCAACCGGTTCAGGGTGTCCCCCCGCCTACTGCCTGAAGATACCTGGGATAGGCTCCAGAATGCCCCATGACCCTTGTGAGGATAAAGCGGTTCAGAAAATGGATGGATAGATGGATATATTATAGTGGTTTCAAGAATCTGAACATTTTTGGGGTAAATCTTATTCGAGACTTTGATTTATAACCATTTACAAACGCCTCATTGGTTTATAACAAAATGTATATGCATCAACCTGATTCAAGAAAACAAGCAAACGAACAAAAATGAGTCAAAGAAATATGTAACAATACAAGGCACAATAAAGTTGCATTTAAGGTCAATCAGAGATAATCACTACTAAATATCACCATACTGATTAAATTATACGAGAAATATTTGAAAATTTGGAAGAGATGCAGATTTTTATTTTGTGTAAGTAAAATTTGCCAATTAAATGCATCGGATTGATAAAAAGAATTATGTACAAAATTTGTAATTCTATCTCTTAGAGTCATTGTAATATGTCCAGATGTTCACACACACACACGACACAAGGCAAATAAAATAAATATAAAATTGTCTGTCAGAACGTAAACTTACACTGCACAAAAGCCGAATGACGTCAGAGCATTTCCTCTGCAAAGATAAGTGAGAAAGAAGACCCCTTACTCTTATACTGTCGTTGATTTTTCTTTTCCCCCCGTAACATATAGCTCTTTTCCCCATATGTTTTCTTCGAAAAGAGTCATAAAACGGTGCACAGTGTGAAAAGTGGTCAAGAGTGAAAGGGATTGAAAGTTGAACTCCTGTGTCGTTTGCAGCGCTTGAGTGATACGTCCTTTTTTGACAGGCGATCTATTGGACTGCACACGCCCAGCCTCAGCACCAGCGCATCCTCCAACCCCGCGTTTGTTCCTTGATCAGTTCGAGGCCAAGCTCACCACATCCTCGTCTTTTCGCTGCGTTCTCCTCGCTACCTTAGCGAGACGTTATGTCTATAAAGATAAATAGTGAGCCATGCCCAATGCCGAACGCCGCCTGACTCCATTACTGGCGCCGCCACCGCCACTGCTGCTGTTGTTATTTACACGCTCCTTGCTTCTGATTTCTTCTGATGCGCCAGTTGGAGCCGCGAATGAGGGCGGCGGCCTTCAGCTCATTTTGCCCGGGGACAATGGCGAGAACGCCAGCACCACGCCGAGTCCTACGGGGGTGTTTCTCGGAGCACCTGCTTTTACTGAAGGTGAACATCTGAGCCGCTCATTGTTGCCGAATCGCATATAATAACAATATATTTTTTGTTGCTTTTGCTGGCACACCACTGCCTGTAGTGCATCTGCATTAAGTGATATGAAAGCCCTCATTTACATGAATGTAATGGGATTAGAATACAAGAATCAGTTTAGGTGCTACGTTGAGGTCATATTGTCATCCCATGTTGCTCTGCAGATATGGAAGTGTGTGTCAGCAAAAAAAAAAAAAACACAGTAGGCAGGACTGTGGTGGGATGTGGAGGGGGCCTCCCGTGAATTAGTTAAGTAAAACTCTTCTGTGAATTCTAGAGCCCCGGTTTGCCCTAAAGGTTCTGGTGAGAGACATGGCGACACGTCAGCTCTTGCCAGGGGCCTCAATTGGGATTTATGTGAACCATACTTTGAGCAGCTCCACATGGACAGGGGAGAAGGGTGAAGCTCTGCTTTGGGTGCCGTACAGCCCCTGGCTGAGTCTGACCCTGGTGGCCAGCATGGAGGGTTACGTCCCCAGCCCACTGCCTTGGAGCATGACGAAGAAACCCAGTGAGTCGTTTCTGCTGGAATTTTCCATTCCTCTTTGATTTTCATCAATATTGTTAGCAGGGAAAAATCATGATAAACTTCATGGCCATCTCTTTGCAGTCTTCTCTGCTGTGACGTTGCTGCTGCTGCCTCAGAGGCAAGGAAATATCTGGCTATTTGAAGACACAGTGCTCATCACATCCAAGTTACCTGGTGTGTTTGGATGCAACATAAATTTCAAATTTAATGTTGTCACAACAATATCATTCTGGATTTTTTTTTCCTGTCTGATTTTTGCAGACAGTGCCTCTCAATCAAAGATAAAGATTCCCAAAAACCTGCTCACACTACCTGACAAGAGCAACATGTCATCATTAACACCTTACCTGACTGTGCCACAGTTAGGGAAGGAGTGTGACAGCTGCACTCCAGGCATTATTGTCAACACATCAGGTGAGCCCCAAGTAAACATAGATTAAAAGCAATCACATTCATGTGACCATCAAATTACTTGGACATCAACATTTGCTTGTTTGCAGTCGTGTATGAAGTACCTGAAAGTGATACATTGGTAAAAGTGTAAATATATTTTCAGAAAATAACTTTGATAGAAGTAAAAGTCACCTTATAGAAAATTATTGGAGTAAAAGTCTTAAAATATTTGTCATTTGCTGTACTAGTATGTATCAAAAGTACCCCTGAAATTAAACATAGATAATAAAAGTACATATAGGTGTTGGAAGTATAAAATTAAGTGCAGTATAAGTTAATAAAATTAAAAAGGGATTATTTAGAATTTTGATTGTTTTTCATTATTTCTATTGATTTTTTTTTTTTTACGTTTATTTCCAGCTTAGTTAAAAATATGTGTATGTTGTCTCACGATCAAAGGTAGTTCGCAAACGTTAATGATCTGGCTTTTTTAAACAGACACATCATAAATCTAGGAATACTGATGTTTCAATTTTTGGGGATTGATATCAATGAATTTAATCTACCTCAATGTGCTTCTTCGCTTTGAGTTTGTGAAAGACAATATTTCTGTCACCAGTGTTCAAAAAGCACTTCTATCTATGCGACCACAAGTGTGTCATGTTATCCTCATTAAATTGCAAGTGCCACTGAACAATTTCTTGTTTTTTTTAATTTAGCTGTAACAAAAAAGGAAGATGGTTCGTGGAAATGTGTCGCTATAAAAGTACAAGTTTTATTTAGTGAAAGTGGAGGAGTAAAATTGGTGGAAGTTGCGAAAAATGTAAATAAAGTACAAATACGTGAAATTTCTACTTTAGCACAGTAACAAAGTATTTGTACTCCATTATATTATGACTGCTTGATTGTGCAGTTTTTAGAAGCATTGGGTTGAAGCCAGTGGCAGCAGTCAGTGTCCGGCTCTATGCGGGAGGCCAGGAGCTCCAGGTTCAAGGACCCATCCAGTTCAGCGTGCCTCTGGGGAGCGGCACCCGCCTCCGAGCCTCTGACACCATACCAGCCTGGTCTTTCAACCTACAGACAGGTCGGAGTCATATTTAAAGCTGAATGGGGTAGGCTTATAAAAAAATGACATGTCTCTGGAATGAATGACTCTGCTTAAAGGTGCCTGGGAGAATCAGGGCCTGGGAATAGTGCAGACCCTTGATAAGGAGCTGTTTTGGACGTACACCGCTTCTCACTTGGGATACTGGATCGCTGCCCCCTTGCCTTCAAACGGTGAATATGCATGCATAATTTCTGTGATGATACTGTATTAATTGTCAGTTTTAATGTGTCAGATCATGGAAGCTCTTTGGATTTCCTTTCCTATCACACCCTCCTGTTGGTGGGAATACTGGCAGGAACTCTTGTAGTCATGATCGGATTCCTGTCTTTGCTCTTGTGTCAATGCGGGTAGGAACTGTCATGCATTTCATTTGATATCACAAGCTTATTTCTGACAATAATCAATTTAAAATTTTCTCTCCAAGTTCCCAGCGAGAGCCCAAGGGCAGACGAGCCCGTTTTTCCAAACTCACAGTGGTGAAGAAAGACCAAACTACCTCCATGCACATGGAGGAGGGTCTGCTCTTTCGCTCAGGTGAGAATATCCTGGCTTCCTGTCACGTCCAGTGTGACCCTTTGTCCACCCCAAGGCACAAAGCCAACTACAACATCTATGTGGAAGACCCAGCTAGTCAAGTAACAGCTCCCCTATATGAGAATATTTCTGCTGATCATATCAAAATTCCCCAAGTGCTCACTCACTACATCAACAACGAGGAGGTATCTCAACTTATGGAGCGCAGCAACTTAAATATTGATAGCTTCTTTCCGGACAAACTGGTTCATATCTACAACCATCCAGTGGCCATCATTCAGGCACCAGATCTTTTCAGCAGCCAAGAGCCACAGAAAGCCGGCTGTAAGTCTGCCACATTCCCCCGTAATGGAAATGAGTTTGACTCTCACTCAGAAGCACCAAGTAAAGACAGCTACACACAGACGCTTGGCAAAGTCCAAAGCAGCCAACAGCATAGCCATCAAGATGAGCCCCAGCCTCTCGAAACTCCTCCACCAAGCCAAGGCCCTCCAGCTGTATGGGGCCGCTACAGTAACCTCCTTGAGTCCTCTGTCTCAGTGCCAGGGACTCTCAATGAGGCAGCCGGGATGGAAGGCTTTAGCAGCGGTCACGGCATATCGAGCGAGCTGCAAGGGATCTCCGAGCGCACTCTGTTGGAATTGACCAAGGGCAAGTCTTCGTCTTCCCACCCCAGGGCCTGGTTCGTCTCCCTGGACGGGAAACCGGCCGCTCAAGTGCGCCACTCCATCATTGAGCTCCACAGCCGCCACCGCCCTACCAGCAGCAACGACACCAGCCTGGACTCCGGGGTGGACATGAACGAGCCTCAGCAGAACATCCGTGAGGTGCGACGGGAAAGGACATCAATCAGGGCTTCCTCGCTTCCGCAGCACAGCAGAAGCGGAAGGTATGGCGAAGAGCAGGATCTGAGTAGCAGCGAGAGTGGCACTACGGCCACTGGCACTCCAGAGGACCCCTCCCTCAGGAACATTCTAGACGGAAGCAGCGGAACTATTCCCAACATTCCCGAGGAGCAAGACGGGATGGACACATCCAGCACTCAGGAAGACAGTGAGCTCAGAGAGACACCCCCACCACGCCGCCTGAGGAAGTGCAAGGAGAAGGTGAAATCGGAGAAAAGAAATACCAAGCACGTTCGAGAGGGGCGACCTCTGACCAAGCGAAAATAGTTGAAGCAAGTTCCTTTGTCCAGGAACCGGCCGCTTGCTTTTCCTCTTCTAGGCAATGTTGTTGTCGAACTCTGTGATTGTACAACTTTGCCAAAGATTGCAGAAATGGTCTGCTGAAGCATCAAGTACCTGCAAACACATTTTGAAGATCACCAGCAACATTCCTCTTGTGGATGTTCATGTCCCACAGTCCAAGCAGTAAGAGTGCCTTCTTTCTGCCTCCAACAGTGAAGTAAGATGGAGTTAATGCTGGTGAGTCTGCAGGATGGACATAACACAGGGCAACAGTGCACTTACCCTCACCATCAACCCACAGCGCCCACATTTGGCTTATCCCCCCCGCCCGCACACTTTGAAAGAAAAACCTTACGAAATGATACTGAGAATCGAATTGAGATGGCTTTCTGTTAAGGTAATGGAATTTGTAAAACTCAACTGCCTTTTTTTTGATGTGCATGAAAAAAAATGTTAACTGTTTTTTGGTTGAGTTTTTTTTTTAATGAGAAATTATTCTCACTATAGTACAAATGTTGTAGTTTAGGATTGTAAGCATTATTCATCCTAGTGATCATTTTCAACCTCATCACAGCAGCACTTCTTTTCATATATTGTGTATGTTACTTTTGAAATTACATTTTGTGCCTTGGAGAATCGCTTGATCATGTTCTTTTGTCTTTATTCATTGTGTAAATAATGGGACTCAAGCAACCATCGCTCTGTCCAACACAGAATATTCATGTTCATGCACAATGCCAAATCCAGAAATATTAGCAGCAAAATTGATGTTTAAAGCTGAGCAGTTTTGCCAAATGTAGTCTTCCATGATGGATTCAGGCTTGGTTTCAGTTGTCATGCATTTGCGTGTGTATATAGTCAAATCGCTTCCGTTATGTGACTGTGATGTTGGTTGTGCAATTTTCTTCTATTTCTACACTTAATTTGGTTAAAAATCTTGCATTCATTGTTTTGGAGTTTCTTAGAAATGAAGAGAAAATAGATAGATGTTTCTTTTAAATGTAGCAACAATATGAGCACTTAATGAGTCAGCAGGCTTATAAAAAAAAACAAAAAATAAACAAAACAACAACATTCACTTCAAGTAATTTCTTTAAATTGCTGAATGTATTTGTAATGCTTTGTCAGTCATGCCACATTTCTTCCCAATCACTATGTGTTCATTTTATGTGCTTTAAAGTATTAAACACATTTGTTTTGAATCTTTGGCTGACCCTTTATCACAAAGACTTCCAAGAAAAAAAAATCTGTGATGTTGATCCACATTCATAATCTTCATTTGATGTCAACTGCTGGTTGTGCTGGCCATGGGAGCCCTTTACGTTTTTCCCCAAACAATATAGTAACCCCCTACCCATTGAGCCGTAGCACACTGCTCTTCCCGACAGGGCACACATCCTGGACCTGGACCATCTTCTGGCAGACAATGCCAGCCACCGAGCATGTAGCGGCTTGACTCAAGGTCTCAGATTCAAGGTGAGGGTCATTTCTCGTCCTGTGGGTCGTTTGATTGGTTTTTGCTTTGAATTGGGAAAATAATTTGGAATATTCGGGATCTCCAGATGTCAACAGGAGTGTCTGTACAATTGACAAGGATCATTTTGCTTATCAATTCCATAGTGAGTGTATACACAATAAATGAATAAATGTATCGGTACATGTTTTTCTCTTCATGTACAAAGTGTTTTTGGATTGCCTTTCTATCAAAAGGGGGTGTTTATTGGTTGCAGATGTGAACAGACATGGTATGTGATGTTGGGTAAGAGTAAATGAAAAAAAAAAACATTGGATTTTAATTCCACCTTTATGAAGTAAATATTGAAAATTGCCGAAATAATTTTTCTGTTGCCACCTTAAAAAGCAATAAATGAATCACATATAATTGCCACATGATCATAACATGCACCTGTTGGTCAAATGGATCAGACAGCCTGGCGGATCTGCCTCACAGGTCAGGTTCATGGCTTCGAATCTGGGCTCCGGCCTTCCTGCGTGGAGTTTGGAAGTTCACTGTTGGGGACAAAATTGCACATTTGGACAGGAGGGGGCAGTGTTTACCAATGTAAATAACGTCCGTGAACAACATTTTAACCATTGTTTTAACTGCAAACTGCAAATATTTGCATTTGACATCAAACAATGACTATGAGGCAAAATGTCATCATTCCAGGTTGTATTTCCAGGTGTTTACATCCACATCTGACCACAAGATAGCAACTTATCATTGAAACACACATCTTTCATTTAAGCCAAGTTGGTGTGAGTCTCCTACTAAATTGGTGTTCTTTCTACACTAATTTCATACAATAAATGGCTAACAAAAAAGCATTACAAAAGTCAATTTTCAAGAAAGATGAAACCAAACCGTGTCGGAAATTGTTCATCAGGCAGCAAATGAATGAGCCAAAGCATTTACAAAGTTCATCGGGGCAAAAAGTGGAAGTCGGGCCCGAGACTGGGAAAGTCAGTCTCAAGACTTAAATCCTATAGAGCATGCATTTTATCTGTTACTGTTGTCAGCGGATCACGAGCTTAATGCAGTTATTGCAAGCAAACCATATGCAACTCCTGTAACTAGAACCTCTTATTAACTTTAATCTACCGTAATTCTATCTGTTCCAATACTATTGCTAAAATTAACATTCGGTGTGTCACCAAATCTTTTAAAATGTGGATCCGATTCAAAAGTAAAGTTGACATTAGTTTGTATAGACATTTAGATTATTATATACGTATACATATACTCTGTGTGTGTATACGTATGTGTGTGTGTTTGTGTGTGTGTGTGTGTGTGTGTGTGTGTGTGTGTGTGTGTGTGTGTGTGTGTGTGTGTGTGTGTGTGGGGGTGTGTGTGTACCTGTATAGTGTTGTCATCTCCTTTCCAGGGATGTCCCTTTATGCCTCCATGGAAGACGAACACATGATGTCATCCAAAAGTGTTCTTATCAGGACAGCTCAGTGTTGCTTCAGACTGGGGAGGGGAACACAGCAGACACACGGACTCCTCGTGAGCACAGCTTGAATCTTTTTAGTTCAATGACAAGAAAAGACAAATCAAGGGATTAGTCTTCAAAATACCCCAGTCATCTGCAAAGGTAAGCTCTTGTTTATGCTTCCATCCCACATTGACATGATCATTTTAACCAATGTGCACACATGCAATGTGCTTATAATGCTGGAAACATCGCATGCTTGTTTAACTGACTTCAGCGGAATGAATTTACATGGACCTGAATGTAGGACGATGAAAGATTCAAGATGTCACGTCGATTAAATATATATAAAACAATATTTATGTATTTGCCTTTGCTTTGTATTAATATAGTTTGAGGAAAAATTACAATATACTGTCAAACTGCAGTTAATGTTTAGGGAGGCACACCTCACATGAACACAAAGAGTTAATACAGATGTTGGGGTCAGTAACACAGTATCGCCAGGAAGTAAATTAACACATCCAGCTGCATCGACATTCATTTGGCTAAACTTGCTCAATACGTAGGCTTCACTACGCAAGAAGGAAGGAAATTGTGGAGGCCAAGGGTAAAGAGAGGCTGAATCTGAAGTGCTAAACAAGGAATCCTGCCATTACACATAGCACAGAAGAGAGCAGCATTTTTTGTGTGCTTTGATGGCACAACCGATCACTTTTATGATAATATATTAATAATCAACCCTGTTGACTCACAAGATACACAAAATGAACACAAATATACACAACACAAACTACCACTCAAAGAGCAAATCACCCACCTTCCAACCCCTTGCCCGAAGCACATCACATATCCAAAACCAAACCTCTACCGAATGCACCCCACGAAATAGGCATCCAGGATATTTCACTCTGGGTTTTTTTCCCATGAACTGTCTATTCATTCTGCAGGTTCTTTGAAACACAAACAGAAAACACGGTCATAGAACTAAGACAAAAATCACTCGCTCATATAAAATAAATAAGTACATAAATAGGAAGTCAAAATCTCAAGAAATCGGTTTAACGAAGGAATACTGTGGAAGTTGCATATTGTTGAGAGGGGCCCTACAAAAACTTTGAATGGTTTCAATGTACTGCATGGCAGAACAGCAAAGGTCAAAAAACATGGCAAATGTGTACTTCAGGTCAATCTAATTTGGAGTCAGCTTTCGGATCAGGAAGTAACAGAAAGAAACGGAAACCAGATGTGAGCTATTGCAAAATGTTACAGCCATACCAAAAGTTAAATCACAGTCTTCTGCTTGATCGCGGTAATTTGAATGTGTGAAGTGTCAGTCCAATAAAAAATTATGTAAGATATTGTACTCTGCTTCAAAGGACGACAGAACGCAAAACGTTGCAACTGCACTAAAATACAGTACAGGAAACCTTTTAAAACAGACTACGACACACCCAGCAGCACTTGATTTAAACCTAATTCCATACCTGCCCATTTTAGCACCAAGAATTTTTTTTTTTTTACTTCAAAAAAAATTGCTCATCTTCCCCAGAAAATGGATCCGACATTACAAATGGAGAGCTTCATGATTCTCCTGGTGATGTGCTCCCTCTGCAAGGTAGTAAAGATCCACACAAAAGCGGGTCTCTCTCCTTGAATAACAGTTATAATCAGGAATGTTGTGCTTCAATTGTGTCAGCTGCTCGTGGCTGAAAGTCCTGAAGAAGCCAATCAGGAACATTTGAACCATTACGGGGAACATCCGGCAACAATCGCCATGGCCCAGTATAAGTGTTTCCAGCGGATGGTGAGAGGAGACAATCATCGCAGAACACAAACGATGGGTGAGCATGATGATGTTGATTTTGCAGAACATCAGCAAGGCCAAAGAGGCAAAAGTGATTATTTCTATATTTTGCCTGCAGGACCTGTTTGCAACATGACATGGGATGGTTGGTTGTGCTGGGATGAGACCGAAGCAGGACTCATAACAGAGCAAAGCTGCCCTGACTATTATAAAGACTTTGACACTTATGGTAATATTTTTGCTTATTTGCAATTTCCTTGGTCAAGTTTGATACTACAATGTATAGATGAGGGGACACAACAAATACTTTGAGTAACAATATTACGTATATAAATAGTCCTTTGAAGGGCTGATGGAAATACAGTGGGACTTCTTGAACATCCCTGGCCCTGAAGTTGTACATTTGAAAATTCAACCAAAATATTTATTATTAACTGATTGACTAATTTTCTTTTTTTCTGTATATTTTAGGTGATTTGTATCTCGTGTTGTAAAAAAACAAGGCAAACAATTTTTCGTCTTGCAGAATAGATACACTTTTTTACTGTGCTTCTGAGTGTTTGGCCGATTCCTGCCCTTTTTGAAGCTCAAAAACAAATAAGAATAAAATACTGCTTTACTTTTTTTAAAATCTAAATATTCAGGGAAAGTATCCCACTAAAATAGTGCTTCTTGATTAATTTCTGTTACACCCACCCAGAAAGAAGAAAATATTTTTGCCCCCCCAACTCTATAAATACTATCATTTGTCTATAAAATTGATCTAAGTAATCCTCTGCAAACCATTGTATCGTTATTAACATTGAAGAAAACAAAAAAAGGAAAAAAAAGAAATATAATGAAACTGATAAGAAATAACTTGATTACCATTTTTTTTTCATCTCAGCTCTCTTTTCTTCCCAGATGACTATTTTTCCATGGTGTCTCTCAAGGGTTTGTTCAATGCGGTTCATATCTCCTACCCTATAGACAAGTAATTAAAAAGTCTATTTTGAATTATACGTTCCCTTAAATTTATCAAATGTGATTCCCCAGTTGAGGTTTGCACATTGTGATTCTGATAACTTTTGATGTTTTGTGTGAAAGGTTCAATGGTAAGACGTCCTTGATGTGAATGTTTGAGTCTCTCTTCAACTCTGAATTTTGCCATCAGCGCTAGCATCCAAAGTTTGTACGGAAACAGGCGATTGGTGGCGTCACCCGGAGAGCAACCGGACATGGACAAACTTTACCAACTGCCAAGCCAATACAACACATCATGGCACAGTGAGAAAAAAATGTAATGTCAAATGTCTGGAAAGTTCTGTTGTGAATTGTTGCCCTTTTCCCAGGTGGCGATGACGCACTTCTACCTGGTCATGATTGGTCATGGGCTGTCGCTGGTCTCACTGATCATCTCACTGGGAATATTCTTCCATTTTAAGTAAGTACATGCTGAAAATACAAATATTTCAGTGAATATGTAAAAGATCCAATATCCTACCCCAAAAACCAAGGTTTTGATGCAAACAACAAAATAATTTTATCCCACATTTTTTTCAGTCTTAAAGGCTTGGCTGCATTAAATTTACCATTCAAGGATGGCACAAAACTACTGAGAAAAAAAAAAAAACAATATTAAGTCTTTGAACAAATTTTATATATATTTTTATTTCTGAAAGATCAACTCACTCAAAATGTTCACATTGCTGAGAGACTATATTTGTCCTCCATATCATTTGAAATCCACAAAAAAATATTTTGCCTTCTCACATTGTAGCATAGGGCAAGGTAAGAAAGACCCAGTGTAAGTGGTGATTTGTGATATTACCACAGAACGACAGTCAACCCTTACATATGTGCATGTTTATTCCATAATTTTAAAAAATATTTTGTATTTATATAAGGGTCGATATGGTAATATCACCAATCACCACTTACACTGGGTCTTACACTGCCCTATGCTACAACGTGAGTAGGTATAATATTTTTTTGTGGATTTCGAATGATATGGAGGACAAACATAGTCTCTCAACAATGTGAACATTTTGAGTGAGTTGATCTTTCAGAAAAAAAATTCTATAAAATTTGTTCAATACATATATATATCAGAATATCCATACCGGCAATTAGAATTTCCTGTTAGCTAGTGTCTCAAATAAGATAAATGTCATCAATGCAAAGCAGACATTGTGTAAAACAGTTGCCTGGATTACTTGAAAGATGAAATGGGCCTGTGGTGTAAATTGGACTGTAAGCAGAATCTCTCCATGAACTTTCCCCTGCAGGAGTCTGAGCTGTCAAAGGATCACGCTGCACAAGAACCTTTTTGTCTCCTTCGTTCTGAACTCAATCATCACAGTTGTGTGGCTGACAAAGGTGGCCAAGAAACAAGGGCACACGTACAACGACTCAGTAAGTGAGTTGCTCTCTGTCCAGGAAGAGGCCATGGAGTCTTTGTCATGTTCTTATTGTCCCGCTGATAGGCGAGCTGCAAGCTACTCATGTTCATTCATCTCTACCTGCTGAGTTGCAACTACTTCTGGATGCTGTGTGAGGGCATCTACCTGCACACTCTGATTGTGGTGGCCGTGTTTGCCGAGAAGCAGCATCTCTTGTGGTATTATCTCCTTGGCTGGGGTGAGCGTGGAGTGCAAGAATCTTGTTCAAGTTTTATGCAGACATGTAACACGTGTTTTCGACCCTACAGGTTTCCCACTGGTGCCAGCAGTGTTACATTCCATAGCACGCCAATGCTACTACAATGACAAGTGGGTTTTTTAAAACCTAAAATATAATCCTAATTTCCAGACTACTGAGTGCACCTGAATATAAAACACAGCCTCTGAAATAAAAAAATAAATAAATACAGGCCAGAATTTTATATAAAATATTTTTTAATGTAACGAGATTAACAAAAACCTGTGTATATTAACACAGGTTTCAAAGCATGCCAAGAAAGTAGCGTCTAATAGTTTGGAAACTTGTTGCTTTCATGCCATCTTTGAATGAGGTTTTGTTTTGGCAGGTGCTGGGTCAGCTCCGATACGTCCTTGCTGTACATCATCCATGGGCCTATCTGTGCTGCATTGGTAGTAAGTGTCAAAACCCGACATTTGTCAGTCTGTCTATATGATTCTTGTAATGGTCTTCTGACTGGCCCCCGTCGAAAGAGCATCAAACAGCTGCAGTTCATTCAGAATGTTGCGGCTTGGTTTCTGTAAATAAGAAAGA